GGAAAATTAATGTTTTCTGTTGTGTTTTGCTGTCGGTATCAGAATTCAATTTGTAATTTAAAAAAGAAGATTTTTTTTTAGTTTTGCTGCAGATTACCCAAATCAAAACTGATAACCAAAATTTCCAATCAACCTAACCTTTACTTTTCAATCACCCATACTTTTAATAATATTATTGCTTAAAAGTCATAACTTAGATCATAGATAATTACCTTCGGTGCAAAATGACAATAAACACCTACCATTCACACAAAAGATAGTACATGTGTGTGTGTGCTTCTATACTGTCTTTTCTAAATGCTTCCACATTAGACCACATCTGGCTTTCACATAAATGCTCTTGGAAAGGTATGCATTTTTCCTTCTTCCCCCAGTTAACAGTTGATAGCAGGGAAGTCAGGGCTCTCTAGCTTTGTTTAGGTTGAGCCTTGGAGAAGGACAATTCTGAATTCAAAAATGGTTGATATAGAGCTAGCAACCTTCATCCACTTGTTTTGGAAACCACAGAACCTAACCTAGTGTGGTAGGGCTGTGGCCTAAGACTCTACAGGGAAGACTACAGGATTGGCATGTGTATATATATATATATATATATATATATATATATAAACAGGTTTTTTATTATTGCCACACCAGGACAAAATTGATCCTTGTCCTTAAAACAATATATATATATATATATATATATATATATATGAGATAACGATATATACATTTTTATATATCAAGAACAATTTTGTAGGAAAGATGTATGACTAAGTGGAAAAATTTTTGTGTGACGCGTTTACTACTCATACAATGAAAAAATTCACTACTAAACGATACTTACATATATGAAAAGATAAATGAATAGAAAATAATTACTAAAACACAAAAATTTAAAAAAGGGATTAGGAAACTAATTAAAAATGAAGACAAATCATGGTACAGACTAATAGAATATCACCCTAGAATAGTCAAACTTTACTATCTCCCTAAAATCCACAAAACAGGCAATTATTTCATGAATAGACAGCACTCCCAACAAACTGGCAAAAGCCATAATAAAGATTTTAGTCCCTCTCCTTGGAACAATCAGTCCATCACATATAAAATCTTCAGGCAACCTAGTAAAAAAACTATGGGAAACAAATATGACTGACAAACTAATGGACTGTATAGATATAAAATCACTTTACACTAATGTCCCGGTTGAAAAATGCTTAAATCTCTTAAAAAAGCATCTAGCACAATCCAAGAGAAACCTTTCCCTGCCAATAGCTAAAATAAGAAAGAACTGCCATCACATCACCAATCAATGTTATTTTACATTTAATAATAATTTTTACAAACAAAAATTTGGATTACCAATGGGATTGCCTCTTAGTGGAGTGATGACATGTATTTTCTTAGGATTTCTCAAATCTGGTATTTTCCAAAATATTTTACTTAATCAACATATTTCCAATATATTGATGATGCTCATTATCACAGGGATATATGTTAATATATCCCTGTGATACTAATTTACCTGATCTTGTAGATAAACTAAACAAAGTCAAAACATACAATAAATACAATCAAACATACAATAAAATTTACATACGAAATGGAAGAATACTTTATCTTTCTTACATATGCTACACTGCACTAACAGCAGCTTAAAAATTAGTGTCCACTGAAAATCAACTAATAAAAATGATCTCATAAATTTCTTTTCTCATCATAACAACGAAATAAAATCCAGAACAATCATCAGATTCTACTTAAGAATTTGCAGCTCTCAATATTTACACGAAGAGGAGAAATACATTGAATACACTTTCAAGATGCCATAATACCCAAATTATTTCATATTCAATGCAAAACAAAAGGGCCATAAAATATTCCAAAATACCTCCAACCCCTCCTGACAAACCCAACAAATCGAAAAAATATATTGTTCTACCCACTAACTCTATCAAAACTACAATCAAAAAGAATTTATCTAAACTCAGCATAAAATTTATCACAACTACATCTAAAACAATAAAAGACTTAATCAATACAAAACAAAACAACAGGACAACACTTGAAGGAGGAATTTACTATGTCAAGTACAAGGATTGCCAGAAAGAATATATTGAAGAAACCTCAAGAAATTTAAATAAAAGATTATATGAACACAAAAGATACATTTTAAAAACAGCACATTAACACATTAGGTGCTCACCATAACAAGACTGACCACAATTTTGACATAAAAATGCTACTCTAATTAAAAGAGAAAACAATTCACTCTGGCAAAAATGTTTAGAAAGTGCTTTAATCACTAGTTCAGCCACAGTAAATTTGTGTCCAAGTTCTTACAGCATTTCATCACTTTTGGCAGATCTTCTGTTGTCACAATGTGGGATATTTAATAACAAAGATGATGGAAACAAAAATATAATATATATATATATATATATATATATAATATAATATAATTAAGCAGCAATTATTTTTCAAAGAATTAAAGTATACTTGACATTTATGTAACTGATACACGTTTCTGTTGCACATTGCTGAAATGACTTCATGTTTTTACTTATTGGATTCAATTATAAGTAAAATCTAATAACACTTTCAAAACAATATGCTACTTAAAACACATTTTATTTTCTTTCCCTTTTTTTTTAATAATTTTTTTTTTCAAATTAGGTCCTGTTTATCTACTATAAAATAATTTTCTTCTTTCAAAAAGAATCCCTCTCTGACACCATGTTCCACTGGGCTTAGGAAGGAAAGATAAATTATATGAGATTGGCTGCTGAAAATCTGAAGCAACACAAAGATGATTAACTCAACAAATCTGCTGCTGCTGGATGCATTTTACTCCCAAGATTCCTTAGTGGGACCAGAAGTTCTTACAATCATCATAATCATAATCAACATTATTTATGTTGCAATAAACACTTTAAAAAACAATACTCTATTTAAAACACAACGAATTAATTCAATAGACATAAAATGTTTATCCTTTTTAACATACATATATATATATATATATATATATATTAGCTCTCGATAAAATAACTTAATTGGTCGAGCACTGTGGGGAGTAACAAATTTGTAAACAGTCACTATTACTACTGATAATGCAATTGTATTCTTTGAGCATGCCAAAATTCTTGTTTAATCCTAGAATGTGTGAATCTATTTTTGTCGTAACCTAGGTAAGGTTACTGAATAGAATAATCACATGAAGGTTGGTAATGAACGATAATACTTAGGACAAGAACAGCACATATAAGATTCACCAGCGGTGCATAGAAGTAGTCAACTGTTAGAAGTGAGTCAAGTAAATTCTACAATGAATCTCCAACTGCAGGATATCTACCAATTGCCCCACACAGTCAGATGTGGCACAAGGTCGAATTTAATGTGGGGTATCCAAGCCGATAAGCTCGGGCAAATATTCCCCGTAGACCCTGTATTAAATGGGGATGGGTAGCTGTTTCCTGAGATGAGACTCTTCCCTTCAACATAGCCTCATCTGAGGATCCTCTCTGCCCAGAGGCAGGGAGTTTGACCAGCACAGCTGGAGACAAATCTCCAACATCTGACCAACATACAGTATTTACTACTGTATTTATGTGAATGTGGACAGACCCATTATCACCCATAGGTATGCTACAACAATTTTAAATTTATTTATTAATATTATTATCAATAATATTATTTTTGTTGCTTTTTTATCACTCAATTTTTTTCAAATTAATTTACATATTAAAAGAATTCATCCTCTTGTCTGTTTTTCCTTAAAGAACTTAACAATGTGAAATAAATGCTAGTCAATAAGAGGTTTCCTGAATTACCTCACAGATCACCAAATTAGACATTGTCATTCTAAGGTAAACAATTGGAACACTGAACATACAGATAAAAGAATGACATTAATGTTTTCTTTAAAAATCAAGTGCAGGGTAACTATAAGCAGGATGAATCTTCCCTGAGAAACATTATAAAGAAATATAAAACTCAAGTCGACATAAACAAGAAAATTGAATTAATTATTTACTATAAAAATTTAAAACAGCTAAACTCATTATTAATAACAATAACTCACTTGCAAGATCCAAATTACAGAGAACCAATATTATTTACAAATTCCCATATCCCTTAAGAAACTGTGTTCCTGATTAAATTAAATTCATAAATAATTATATTGGATATACTACAACATGCCTAACAAGAAGACTCACATTACATCTCTCAGATGATAGCTCAATTAGGTCTCATTTAAATACACATGGAGACCTACCAAACTCTGTATGCAACATACTCGATAATACAAACATAATAGCTTCATCCACATGTAAAAAAAGGCTAAAAGTAATGGAAGTATTATTAATAAAAAAGAAAAAGCCAACACTTAATAACATAAATTGTGAACACAGCCACAATGTGCTGACCATTTTTGTAAAATAAAACATTCCTATAACTCTAGATGCATACATAAAACAATCCATACATTCAGTTAAAAGTAAAGATAAAATTATCCTTGATAATGGCTAAAACTATAACTGAAAGCACTTGGACATACAGAACATTGGAAAATTTCCACATAATTTATATCTTGAAAAGAAGAACTAGAAAAATTAAATAAAAAACTTAACCGCAGTACCTTGCCAGTCATTTTTAATGAAATGTGTATAAAAGAGTGATTGCTACCCAAACATACAATTATTATATAATAAGAAGCATATGTAGACAATCTGTCTTTACTATATATATATATATATATATATATGTATGCACATATACTTAGCATTTGGGACAGTGTTAGTATGTGCACACACACACACACACTCAGACAAATACAAACATGTGTGTGTATATGTGTGTGAAAGATATTTTAATTTCCTTATTCCTTAAAAATCAAACATTTTTCTTACCTGTTTCCAGGTAAACACTTTTTTACCTGTTTCCAGGTAAAGATTTTTTACCTGTTTCCAGGAAACATTTTTTACCTGTTTCCAGATAAACACTTTTCTTACCTGTTTCCAGGTAATATAGAAGATTGGCCAGTGCTTCCTTCTCTATTTCTGATGGCTCGTTGTCACTCACATTACCCATGAAATTTTGTTTTGTTATGTTGCCATAGCAACAACCACAGGTGATACACCTGAAGAACCATTCTAAAATTCTCTTGATTGTTTCCAGAATGTTCACCAGGAACTTTTCTTTGTCTTTCTCTGGTTCTGATGATTCAGAAGATTCACATTCCTGGCCAGAAAAAAAAAAAAAATTAAAAAATAAAATGAAATGAAAAACTGAGAAATAAATTGAAAAATCTGAAATAAAAAATATTGAAACAAAAATGAATTTGGTACTTTTGTCTTTAACTTTTGGGTAGCAATTGATCTAGGAGAAGGACAACACATTCTTGTTTGTGTGTTTACAGTATACTTTAAAATCTAATTTCTCATTGTTGCATATTAAAACATGTCAAGGAAGGACAATCTAATCAACTTCTATTCCTACCACAACCAAAAAACAAAATCTGGACTAGTTATAGGATTCTACTTCAGGGCCTTTAGGAATATCTTAATGAAGAAGAGAAATATATTGAGAAAACTTTCAAACTTCTCTACCATCCACATTATTTTATCTTCAATGTTAAAAAACGAGCTTACAAAATCTGCAACGTAGAGTTGGTCAGTTTGGCAATTTATGTTTCAGTATAGGTTACCATTTTCTTTTTTCCTTGATACCGTGGTTTCCAATTTGGCTTTTTGGGTTTTAATTTAGTATTTTCACTTTCTAAGGAAGCCATTCATTTTCTTGTGTAATGATAACATTTCCAGTCAATATCTGATTTCGTTTGACATTGATAAATTAGCAACTTAATTTGTTCAACTCACACATTCTTGTGTATTTATGGTCCAATCTTAACAATATTCATATGGTTGGAAAGAAAATAAAATGATCTTTCTAAATATGTAATTTGTATGTACTTTTATTCATTGAATTATTTTTTACAGCAAGTTAAAATGGTATTTTGCTTCAAACAGGCAAAAATGCAAAATATGGTTATTTTGGGGGGAGATTAAATTTTACATGTTACTTTGCTTCACAAAATGAAAATGACCAATCTTTATCCATATTCTTGAAATTGTACACTCAATTAGAAAACACCTTAAACTACAACCAGGAAGATATTCATTTCTCTGACCCAAGGAAGTGAATTCCTTCAAAAATTATTAAGTAAGCAATAATGATAATAATAAATGTGTGGTAAAAAAACTTTCAAATTATTGAAACTACTGTCTGACACTGACTAGTGGTTAAAAAAGAATAATTTTTACTTTGGGTTTAAAAAAAATGACTTGCAGAGTTGAAAATATACACATTTTAAAAGTGAGATTAAAACTTACTTTATTTTTTTTTAATATCTAATTTTAGGTGTATTATTTGCTAGTTAGAAACAATTTTATTTGTAGAAAACAAACAATTTTAGACTAGACTCTCGAAATATACACATTTTAAAAGTGAAATTAAGAACTATTTTAATTATTCTTAATATCTAATTTAGGTGCATTCCCTAGATAAAAAAAAATTAATTTATTTATAAAAAAAATCTTCATTCATTTTTCTTGTTTACAACAACTTTATTTCGTGATTGTCATACTTACTGGCTTACTAGAAAACCCTTACAAAAAATCTGACTTCATAAAATTTAACATTAAGACAAAACTGGCAAATATTTTTTTTATTTTTATTTGCTATTTTGTTGTTAACTTAATTTTACCACAAAAAGTTTTTTCTGTTGAAAACGGAAAAAGGGAAACAAATTTGATTTGATTTCAGACATCATGTATTTCTTTTTTTATTCTTCATTTCTTTTGTAAACAAGTAGATTACACATTTATTTCCTAAAACTAGTCAATTAAATGTTTTTAACATATTTTTGTTCAATCTTTTTCTATTACAATGGTATAAATGTTGATAAAATTTAATTTTATTAACATGTAAAAGTCTTTTTCAATAGTGTTTCTTTGGATATGGTCACTCAGTAGTGATAGCACTGAAACCAAATGATTTTAATTTCATAAAAAATTTCGATGTGGTTTCACAGTGTGAAAATGAAACTGAAAAAAGTTGGTTTTTTGGTTAAACTGCCCACCTCTACTATAAAGTCAAAAAAACAGACACCACCAATAACACTTCTAATAAAAATTACACAAAATTCATAATCCTGCCCTTAAACACTCTTTCTACTAAACTCACAAACAAATTAGTCATCCCTAATACTAGGATTGTTACCACCACGTCCAAGATAACCAGAGATATAATTATGAAGAAAAATAAACCCAATACCAATTCAAATGCTGGGATTTATTGAATAAATTGTTTACAATGCAAAAGTGTTTATGTTGGGGAGAAAAGACGTCATCTAAAAGCCCACATCTATGAACACAACAGAGGCTTGTATTTGGACAAATGATCTAACTCGTTTTGCATTGAAACAATGTTGGACATAACTTTGATTTCACTAATGCCACCCTAATTAAAACAGAACATAATTCTTTAAGGAGATAAATACATTGAAAACTTAATGATAACATTATTAATAAACTATAAACACATGCCTAAGACATTACATTACATCAACATCTTTCTTTAAATCCATTCTTAAATAATCTAACATATCTATCTAATACAAAAAATGCATTCTTAAAGAGGCCAGCCATAAATTAGAACCTTGTGATACCAGACTGTATGGTTGATCACACAAAGGTGAAAATAGAACGCCACTTAGACAGATACACATACACAATTACAAATACACATTACCATCCAATGCCCATTTAGACATACAAGAATCTTCACAAACCTACATACACATAGAATTATCTATGGTTTTAAGACATGTGACATGTGTCAGACCAATGAGAACTGACCCAAACATAATTGAAATTTTTGTCTCTTTTCTCTCAATCCCTGATAAAGCTTGAATAAAAATGAAACATATTTGATTGATATATGTTCCTTATTTGTTGTTTATTTTATCACACACATACATATATATATATATATACAGGTAAAATAAAATTTGTAGTGTTGAAACATAATTGTAATTATGTAGTGATTTTTAAAATGTTTTTGTTTAATATCCTAAAATAAATTATATATATATATATATATATATATATATATATATATATATATATATATATATATATATGAATTAAATAATTAAGAAAGAGAAAACCTTAAGGTTCCCTGACTATAATTTATTTCCCCAGAAAATGTATTTTTCCTGGTTCTTCAGATCATTATTTGATTAATATTTGCTCTGTTGTTACATTGAACTCTCTGGATTACATTTGCTTTGGAATTATCCACACGGATTACCAAACCCTTCATTACCTTACTATATATATATATATGTGTGTGTGTGTGATAGTAAAGAAAGATTGTCCATGTATACAGTCTTATATGTAGATATAATAGGCCCATGAAAGTAATATTGATAAGACATACATGCACACATATATACATATACATAACAACTGTTACATTACATGTTGATCTACATCAATATTTTTGTTTCCAGCTTTCTTCTATTTGCTTTCTGCCTAGCTTTTTCAGTTCTTCTTTCAGTTTTCTTGCTGATCAGATGGCAGCTTTCGTCACTATTTTCAAGATTTAAACCAAATTCCCTTGCATATTTATGGATTGCTTTCAATACAGAATAATTTTATACTACAAAATGTTTTTTTTTCCATCAAATCTTTCTGAAGAAGTGTTATATATATATATATATATATATATATATATATATATATATATATATATCTGACTAATTGATCAAAGATCAGAATTTAATTAAAATTCTTTTGGGACTGAAAGAGAACTTTTCAACAACTTCTGATAGATAGATAGATAGATAGATAGATAGATAGATAGATAGATATTAAATTCAAGGCATAATGATGAAGAAAGTCTTTACTTTATTCAGTAAATATTTATTTTTCAACATAATCTTTTTTATCAATGTGCTTATTTCAGTGGTGAAATGAAAATTTTAGAGCAAAATTCAATAAATAAATCCACATCAGGCTGCAGTTGGTTGGTTGATTGATTTTGTTTAGCAGCATATCAACTTTTATATGGTATTTAATGCTGAAATCTACATATATTGAACACAATTGTATGCCTTCAACTAGAAATAAAATGTCTTATGGTAATTTTACTATAAATAGGTATTGTTGGTAATTTCACTAAAAATGAGTATTGTTGGTAATTGTTTTATATAAAAATGTATTGGTGGTATTTTTATTATAAAAATGTATTTTTATCCTTTGATAGAGATTTGTTTTTGTTTGGGGGGATTCACTATTTACTCATAGCTGGGACCCTAACCGGTGCTATAACCCCAAGTCAGTGTGAACCTGGGAACAACAACAATTAAGAGATGGTTCCACACTCCTCAAAACCTTCAATCTCCTGATCAGAGGCCTTGCTGCCAGATGTAGTTTATCATCATACCCAGGACTAATCAAGCTGTGGACTTACTGATGAATCTTCATATGCATCTGAAAATCCTTTAAATCACTTGATCAGACTGACATTTATTAAGTTGAAATTCTGGTCAAATGTATTATGGTGAACTACCAGTGTGTCTAAAATATCGTTATGCAGCATGTATGTCTATATGTAAGTATGTATTTATGCATGTACATGTGTATGTGTGTCACATCCCTGACACCAGAAATAGTATATTTTGATGAAGTGCTACTTATATAAGTAATGAATTTTTACTTATTTTCTAAGGCATATTAAGCAAATGAATGACAAAGGAGAATAAACACTGTGTAACATGTTTCATTCTCTTCATCAGACTAAAGTATTGTTTTTGTTGATGGAATTATAATTGTGTAGGAGAGGCAGGTAAGATATAAAAAATGCAAGCATCAGTTATAATTATGTACTAAGAGGAAATGCTGAAAGTTATATATTAAAATATAATATCCCCCTTAAAAAACAGCAGCTGGTAAAATTTCAATTTTGACATTTGCAACAACCCCTGATCAATATCTTTATGTGCTAACTTTTCTTTTCGGATATTC